CCACCCTGATCAGTCAATAGCCATCAACTCTGAGGCAAGATTCTCCACCAGCAAAATGATAACTCACTGAAGGTTGAGATGATGGCTAGCATTTTTTAGCAATAAGTATTTTTTAATTAAGGTATGTACATTGTTTTTAAGACATAATGCTATTGCACACTTAATACACTACATACAGTTTAGTGTAAACATAACTTTTATATGCACTGGGAAACCAAAAACTTTGTGTGATTCACTTTATTGCAATATTTGCTTTATTACAGTGGTCTGGAACCAAACCCGCAATATCTCTGAGGTATGCCTGTAATGTCTTTATTTATTGGTTATGTATGGTTTAAGGAAATGTGTACAGGTGCCAAGTTGACAAAGGGTGGAATGTGATGGTTAAGGTTATGTGTCAATTTGGCTAGGCCATGATCTTCAGTGGTTTGGCATATATTATGTAATCGTCCTCCATTTTGTGATCTGATGTGAGCAGTCAATCAGTTGAAAGGGGAGTTTTTTTTGGGGGGATATGGCCTGCATCCAATATATATATACATATATATATACATATAGATGTTCTGGCAAAGCTCACTCTCAAACCTGCATCCACCTGATCATCCTCTGACCTCCAGTCTTGGGACGTGAGCCAGCAGCCTGCCATCTGACCTGCCAATAATGGGTAGTCAACCCCTACAACCACAAGAGTTAAGAGAAGCCTCAGCCTGACGTCTGACCCATGGATTTAGGACCTGCCAGCCTCCATAACTGCATGAGCCATTTCCTTGAAACCTCTCTCTCTCTCTCTATATATATATATATATATATATATATGTATGTATATATGTACATTTCACTGGTTTGGCTTCTATAGAGAATCCAGCCAAAGACACCTCGTCTTCAATCTCTGTTCACGTTTACCATTTGCCAACTTTAGGGTATATCATCCACATTGTGGCCTTTATGAATGATGTGCCCTAGAGATATGCAGGCCATAACAGTCAAATGGCATAGTCCTGCCTCTCCCTCTCTATTATATCACTCTATTATATCAGCTTTTACCATATTAAGAAAGAGAGAGAGATAGAAGGAAAGGAAGAAAGGAAGGAGAGAGAGAGGGAAGGAGAGAAGAAGAAGGGAGGGAGGGAGGGAGGAAGGAAGAAGAAGAGAGAGGGAGGGAAAAAGAAATGGGAGAGGGAGGGAGCAAGGAAGGAGGGATGGAGGGAAGGAAGGAGGAAAGGAAGGAGGGAGAGAGGAAGGGAAAGAAGGAAGGAAGGAAAGAAGGAAGGTAGGAAGGAAGGAAAGAAGGAAGGTAGGAAGGAAGGAAAGGGGGAGAGCAAAAAGGAGGGAAAGAGGAAAGGAAGAGGGAGGAAGGGAGGGACAATAAAATACAACTAGCCCTACATTTGCCCTAGTCTCCATTTCCTCTCCTCCCTCTTGTTTCTACCCTCACTACTCCACTGAAACCACTCTCACCAATGTCCCCTTGTTAACAAATCTGAAGGATATGTTTCTTTGCTCTCTTAATCTCTTCCCAGCTCTTAACACTCAATTGGCCACTTTTCTTGATAAATTCATTCCTTGGTCTCTGTAATACCATTTTATTCTCTTTCTCAGTCTATCTCCTAAATCTTACTGTTTTTCAGGCTTCTTTTATTGACTGTCTGCTTTTCTTGGTCTACACTCTCTTCCTGGACCATCATATCTGCTCCTGTGGCTTATTTTATTTAAAAAAAAAAAAAAAAAAACCCGTTGCCATTGAGTCAATTCCGACTCATAGTGACCCACAGAGTTTCCAAGGAGCGCCTGATGGATTCAAACTGTCGGCCTTTTGGTTAGCAGACATAGCTTTTAGCCACCACACCACCAGGGTTTCCAGCTTCTTTTATATGTTCTCTGAAAACTGCCCACCTTTTCCTTGAGATCAAGTCTCTCACCAGAACTTGCTCCCTCTCTTCTCTCACCTTCCATAGACAAAACACTAGCAAATTCTAATAATTCTTCCTCCAAGATATCTAAAATATATCCCCTGCCATCTATCTCCATGACCACCTTCTTAATCTAAACCACTAGATTAGGTGCCTGAACTCCTATAGTCACCTCCTAATGGGCTTCCCTTATTCCACTCTTGCCACATTACAATCCATTCTACTCAACAAAACCAGTTTCAAATCTTAACACGTCCATTTCCTATTTTAAATCCTTCAAAGATTTTCCAGCTCATTAATATGAAATCCATGGCCTATAAAGCCTAACATGCTTGTCCTCTGCCTGCCCTTATGACTTTATCTCCTTCCACTCTCTCCCTTATTCAATAAGATTTACTGGCCTTCTCTAATTTTTTCAAAACAAACCCAAGTTGTTCCTGACTCTGGGCCATGATTCTCAATGTTTATATGTGATCACTCCCATGATGGGATCTGCTGTGAGTAGCGAATCAGTTGAAGGGGAGTTTCCTTGGGCATGTGGCCTGCATCCAAATATAAGCAGACGTTCTGGCTTTTTGCTCACTCTGGATCCTGCAGCTGCCTCCTGTTCATCTGACCTCTGGTTCTGGGGACTTGAGCTATCAGCTTATCTGCCGATCTTGGGATTCGTCTATCTTCACAGCCTGTGAGCAAGAGCCTTGCTGTGTGACCTTCCAATCTTGAGTTCACCAGCCCCTTCAGCTATGTTAATCGGGAGAAGCCTCTATCCTGATCCACGGACTTGGGACGTTCTAGCCTCTACAATCACATGAGCCATTTCCTCGATATAAATTTCTCTCTATATATATATATTTATACACTTTACTGGTTTTGCTTCTCTAGAGAATCCAGCCTAAGACAACACTCCTCCCCCAACTCTTTAAATTACTCTCCTCATCAGATGTCGGCTCAGATATCGGCTCCTCAGGGAAGTGTTCGCTGACTACATACTTTAAGTCATCTTCATCTCATTGTTCCATTTTATTTTTTTTTCTAAGAACTTACCATTCACTAAAAGTTATCCCATTTGTTTATTTGTTTATTGTCAAACTTCTTTCATTAGACTATAAGATCAATGAAAGCAGAAACCTTATCAAGCATGTATCCTTCTGTATCCTCATTGCCTACAACAATACCTGGTGAATAGTTGATGCTGAACAAATATTTAAATGAGATTTAGTCAACATATACAACTCTCTGCTAGACATCTCCATTTTAGGGGTTCTATAGGCTTTTCAACCTCAGCTTCCATCAAAAAATCACTTTCCTTCTGTTTGAATCTCAGTGGATGGCAGTACCAACCACCCAGTTGCACAAGCTAAAAAGATATTTTTCACTACTCTTTCCTCTCCTCTGCCACAACCAATCAGTCACTTAGTCCCATCCCGTCTACCTCCTACTACCTTTCTTCTTTCTAGCTATACTGGCACCACTCAAGACCAGGCCACCATCTTTTCCTGCCCAGACCATGGCAAACTTTTGCTAATATTCTTAAACTTGCCTTTCTCCAAATTTCTTCCATATCACCTTTCTAAAACATAGATCCAATCATGTCACTTCCCTACTTAAAATATTTTATTGGCTTCTCACTGTTTTTAAGATAATATTCGAACTCTGGAAAATCACCTCTTTCGATCTGGTCCAAGTTTAACTTCATTATTATTAATAGTAGTAGTAGTAATTCATAAATTATATCCAATGTTGTTTTGTGGATTTTTAAATTTTATATAAAAGTTGTCATGCTGTACATATCATTTGTTCATAATTTTTATTTTTTATTCAGTATTGTGTTTTTTAGTTAGTGCCCTTACGTTTAGATCTAGTTCATTCATATTAATTGTTATATTCTATTACAAATGTCTATTACTTTTATCCATTATCCTACCGATGAAAATCTGTTTCCATTTTTTCTTATAAACAATGCTGCAATGAACATTTTGAACATGATTATTGACCCAGTCTTAACTCTTCAGCCTTTTCTTTCAGCTCTCTCCCTGTCACTCTAGATTCATGTCATAATTAAATTCCTTTCATTTCCTCAACCAGGACATGACTCACTGCCTCCTGACCTTTGCACACGCTGCCCCTCTTCCCTTCACTCAGTGCATTCCTGCACATCCTGTATGGTTCATCTCAGATGCTACTTCACTGGGATGCCTTCTCTAACACCCCCAGGTCCGGTTAGGTTTCAAAGGGCCCTATTCTTCTGGTATCAAAGTCTCCATCACATGTATTTTAATTGTTTAATTGTCAGTAAGAGCAGGGGGAGAGGATCTATGTAGATAGAAAGCATCTGGCACAGAACTTGGCAAATAACAAGTGCTCAACAGATGTTTTGAATGAATCAATGAAGACTGATATAAAAACTCACTGTTTAGTCTTGAAAACTCATTGTATATAAGCGTGTGTATGTGTTTAATAAACTATTTCTACTCTGACTATAAAGTGTGGATTTAATTATTCTTAATAAGTTTTTTAGTTGTTTTTTCTAAGTCCTGAATTTACAACCCTCTAAGACATGTATTGTTACACAAAGATGCCTGGGCTGATTTTAGAGTCGCATTTTATAATACTCTGAGTAGGTAAAACCAGAAATGCCTCTCACTCTTAATGAGGCTTATTTTTTATTTGGCTATTTGCACATTACAAAAACTGCAAAGAGGCAAAGTCTGTTCAGTATATTGAGAGATCTTTCTAAAAATAAGAATCGTCCAAAAAGGGAAGCCTTGGGAGTTAGCAAATTCATTGCTAGTGGGCCTGAAATGGAAAGATTTTTTTCAGAGCTCTGTATTACTTTAATCCCTATGATTTGATGACTAAGTGGGCCAGATGAGTTCTAAACTCACTTATAATTCTAAGCGCCTATATTCTATAAAATACTTATGAGCCATGAGTCATTTTGTTCTCTCTCCTCCCCACCCCCGCCAGCGATTGTATCCCATTAACTTCAAGAACCTATCCTTATTTTTTCATGATTTGTAATTTTGTATGTTCTTTAAGTAATTGACTCTAACATACAATTATTTTAAATGACTAAATTATACTAAGTATATGCTGTATTTCTTCAGAAAAATGAGCAGGCGGACTTGTTGGATTTGTAAGAAGTGCAGAGAGAAATCTAAGAGGCCCCCTTCAAAGTAAGTAGCATTTACTTTCTATGGCCATTATGAAGCATATTTATCACATGATAAATAGGTGTACCTTTATTCAACTGCTATCTCAATATATTTTGTTCAGAAAGGAAAATTTGTATCTACACATGAATAATTCCACCAGAAAAACAATCATCCATTACGTACAATAAGATTGTAGGACCACTTTTAAATGTTTAGATCACTTGAACTCTTACTATTTAGGCTTGGGTTTTTCACACATTATGTCATCATTTTTTGTTACTAATGGCTTACACTCAAGAAAGCAGCAAGTTAAATGCCTTTAGAGAGTTTATTACGAATAAAAACTTTAGATTTTAAAAAGGTTTTATATTGTTTACGTTATGAGATTCTTGGACCTAAAATATGTTCATGGTTCAAACTCTCCACGGAGAAAGTGCTAGAATCCTTCATCCACAGATGGAGAAGGTGAGATTGGAGGGGTAACCAAATGCTTACCAAGCTTCCGATTTCCTTCAATATCCTGATATACCTAAAAATGTAGCCATTTGAATGGGAACAGCGACTACTAAAATGCCTGCGAAAGGGTAACAAACCATTTAATTGGATTTGTTCACCTCAGAGAATTCCTAGAGCAAGAATCCCTGCAGGTTAATTGTGAGTCCCTAACCCTGGTGGTACAGTGGTTAAGAGTTCAGCTGCAAACTGAAAGGTCAGCAGTTCAAATTCACCAGCCACTCCTTGGAAACCCTATGAGGCAGTTCTACTCTATCCAATAAGGTCGCCATGAGTCGGAACTGACTTGACAGCAGTGGGTTTGTTTTTTGTTTTGTTTTGTTCAACCTGATCCAACGGAGCCCTAGTGGTGCAGTGGTTAAGTGCTGGGCTGCTAACTGAAAAGTCAGAGGTTCAAACTCACCAGCCATTCTGCGGGAGAAAGATGTGGCAGTCTACTTCTGTAAAGCTTACAGCCTTGGAAACCCTATGGGGCAATGTTACTCTATCCTATAAGGTCGCTATGAGTCAGAATCGACGCCCCAGCAGCGAGTTAACCTGATCCAAAGGAGTCCTGGTGGTGCAGCGGTTAAGTGCTAGGCTGCTAACTGAAAGGTAGGCAGTTTGAACCCACCAGTTGTTCCACTGGAGAAAGATGTGGCAATCTGCTTTCATAAAGATTACAGCCTTGGAAACCCTACCGGCAGTTCTACTCTGTCCTACAGAGTCTCTATGAGTTGGAATCAACTCAACTGCAACAGGTGGAGACCTCAGTTTCTGGTCACATCTGCCTTCTACAGTCAGAGCTGCTGGCATGCATGCTACCACCCTGGAATACAGAAACGCCTGAAAACGCTTACAAGCAATGGAGGGTACAGGAGAAAGTAAGACTGAAAGCGCAGCGTTTTAAATGACCAGTTGAGGCTGCTAAACAGCACAGCTGTGTCAAGGAGAAAGCCATAACAAGTTGATTCGGGAGCAGTTTCTTTCTCTTCTGATCACTTCCCACAGAGTATTGCACTTCTTGCATTTGTTGTAACTTGCCTCATGGATCCACCATCAAGGAAGGGGAAAGACAAGCAAAGATTTCACATTCACGGCTTGCTGCTAGCTAACGGTCATTTGATAGGTGCATTACACTGACTACCTGATTTAATCTGCATGATAACTTTGTGAGATAAATATTATCATCCTCATTTTATAGATAATAAAACTGGGGTGCAGAGGTTTTAATTAACACTCAAACTTAGTAAGTACAGCACTGTGATGAGAACTCAGGAGTGTCAGACTCCAAATGCTCTTCATTCTTTTTTCCACAACGTCATGACATCTCAAAACTCTCCCATATCTGGTTTGTATCTACCGTCCAGAAGAAAGGAGCAAACACAAAACTGGAAAATTTTTATCAGGAAACAAAGGTGTTTAGAATAATTAATATAGGGGGCATCTGGATAGCCATGAGATAGCATGAAATATATGGGATACTCAGGGAAAATTACAAGGGAAAATGGGTTAAAGCAAAAACAAATTGCAGTTCATAACTCTGCCACCAACATGATCACTCCAATCACGGTCTATCTCCATAAATCTCATAAATCTTAAAGGAAAAGGAATTGTCTTACCAATAGTCACCAATAATTTTAAGATGGAGTCCCTGGGTGGAGCAAATGGTTAACAAACTCAGCTGATAACTGAAAGTTTGGAGATCCAAGTCCACCCTGAGTCACGTTGAAAGAAAGGCCTGGTGATTTTCTTCCACAAAATCAGCCATTGAAAACGTTACGGAGCGCAGTTCTGCTCTGACGCACGTGGGGTTACCATAAGTCAGAATCCACTCGGGGGCAACTATTTTTTTAATTTCAAGATAACCCAAGACAGTGATGACATCTTTACTCATGCTGTAGCCTTTTATACTTTCCTAAATAATGGGAATGAGGGGAATAGATAGGCATGCAATACACCTTGCCTAGCACTTTCTGTTTCACTGGATTGGAAAGGTTATTTTAGGGTACTGTTTTGAAAGTTCTAATAAGAGAAGAGAACAATGAGTCAGATATCATTTCATGGAAATGTTTTTTGAAAGCAATCTAAACAGCAGTGCACTGTTAAGCCTCAGTACTGATGCAAACAATCCATTTAAAACTGGCATGATCCAACTAAATTTTTAGAAAATAAAAGATAGTTGACCTTTTCAGGACTCTCAGTGTTTTTCCATGTTCTACATTAGTTTTCAACCTCTTTAACTAATCTTCTTTCATTGTGTTAAGTGCCTGCTAATGCCGATGGCTGTTCCTCAAACTTTAATTATTGGGCTAACCAATGAACAGTGCTTACTTATATCTACAGCTGTCTTTATTATATGCAGTTTTTGAAAACAGGAAAATTAAGAATCCATCATAAACTGAATGACAATGAACACATTGACTATTTTCTTTTAAAAGAGAGAAAATAAAACTATTTATTTGTGAGAATATATAGTCAGTTGTTAATTCACCTAATGAAGTGCACCAAAATGAACAGAAAATAATCCTCAAAGCCAGTGTCTTTCACAGACGTTTTCTAAATGGTAAATGGTTTTGTTTAAACCGTTTAGGTCAAATGCATTTTATTCACAGTAATAAAAAGTAAAACCCTCAATATGTGAAAATGAATAAGTAGAGCAAATAATAGACTGAGAAAATATCTATACATAACAGACATAGGATTACTAACTTTATTATTATACGAGTGCATAGAAGTAGATTTTGTGGATAAACTCTAAGGTCCCAATAGATAAGTGGGCAAACACATTACTGCAGCACACAATACTATAACCCCTTCAAAGCAATTTGGCAATTTGTATCAAGAATCTTAAAAATGTGCAGTTTTTGATCCACTTTGATTTTACTTCTGCTAATCTTCTAAGGAATTACCCTAACTATGTAGACTTATAGCAACCCTATAGGACAGAGTAGAACTGCCCCATAGAGTTTCCAAGGAGCACCTGATGGATTTGAACTGACAGCCTCTTGGCTAGAGGCTGTATGTCTTAACCACTATGCCACCAGGGCAGACATGGCAAGCATTAATCACTGCTCAGCTATGTTTGGTTTTAATAGTGAAAACTGAGAAGTAACCAAAATGCTCATTCAGAATATTATCCCCTTGTAGAATATTCCATAGTCACTATAAATGAGTGACTAAAAATGATTTTAATTTATAACTATAAATCTTAACACTATAAATGATTATTAAGATAATTGTAACAACTTATAAAATGCTTATAGAAAGGGAATGTGTGTGTGTATCTAATCACACACACAGCATGATTAATTCTCGGTTAAAAATAAACATACACACATACTAAAAAAAGACTAAAAGGAAATACATCAAAATATTAATGGTGGTAATTTGGGAACAGGGAGATTATAGGACTATTGTTCCTTATCTTTTTTATTATTTATTTTATTGTATTTTCCATACTTCACTTAATGAGCATATATTTATTTCATAATTTTACAAATTTAGAAAGTAAAAATAAAATGCAGACCAAAACCACACACAAATGCAGTGTAAGTAGATTTTGGCATTTTTTTCAGGATAATATGTTTCTATTTAGTTCAACAAAACCTTGAGAATATTTTCAGCACAATCAAGCACCATTTGTTTCTTTTCAAAGCCTTACTTTGGAGGAAGTGCTGCAGTGGGCCCAGTCTTTTGAAAAGCTGATGGCTACAAAACGTGAGTATTATGTATATATTATCTTTGGATTACTACCAGTTTTGTTCTTGGCAGTTAGAGGGGTGCACTAGATGATGAACGCGTGCCCCCCTTCTCACAGTCTTCTAGATGACAACTGCCATGGTTAAAAAAAGAAAACCTGAAAATAGTGTGTCGTGTAAACCACGATTATTCTCTCTGATGTTAATTAAAACAAGATTAGTCACTGTGAATATTTATACTTCACAAGTATATGTGTAAAATCCCTTGGGATATATGCTTAAATAGTAACACATATGGAAATAGATTGTCTTACCATACCCTTCTAAAGTTAGGATGAGAAAAAAAACAATAATCTGCCATTCTCAGTGCCTTTAAAAGTAATAATAAATTTGAGAAGTGATCTTCTAAAACTCCTCTTCAAAGTTCATTTCTAACTTTATCAGTGTCTGACTTAAGTGGGGCTACGTATGAGAAAATTGATGGAATAATAGACTGAGAAAATATCTATACATAATAGAAATAGGATTACTAACTTTATTATATGAGTGCATAAAAGTAATGCAAAAACTGAGATGTTTCAACAAACGGATGCAGTGCTGGAGGTGCTCACTTGTCTATGCCAAGAAATTTGGAAGACAGCTACCTGGCCAACAGACTAGAAGAGATCCATATTTGCACCCATTCCAAAGAAAAGTGATCCAACAGAATGCAGAAATTATCAAACAATATCATTATTATTGCACACAGTAAAATTTTGCTGAAGATCATTCAAAAGCTGTTACAGTAGTACATTGACAGGGAACTAACAGAAATTCAAGCCAGATTCAGAAAAGGACATGGAATGAGGGGTATCATTGCTGATGTCAGATGGATCCTGGCTGACAGCCGAGAAAACCAGAAAGATGTTTACCTGTGTTTTATTGACTCTGCACAGGCACTGGACTGTGTGGATCATAACAAATTATGGATAACATTGCAAAGAATGGGAATTCCAGAACACTTAATTGTGCTCATGAGGAAAACCTATACAAAGGCCAAGAGGCAGTCATTCAAACACAACAAGGGGATACTGCGTGGTTTAAAATCAGGAAAGGTGCATCATGGTTCTATTCTTTCACCATACTTATTCCATCTTTATGCTAAGCAAATAATCCAAGAAGCTGGACTATATGAAGAACATGGATCAGAATTTGAGGAAGACATTAACAACCTGCTATATGCAGACCACACAACCTTGCTTGCTGAAAAAGAGGACCTGAAGCACTTACTGATGAAGATCAAGGACTACAGCCTTCAGTTTGGATTACACCTCAACATAAAGAAAACAAAAATCCTCACAACTGAACTTGTCAAGGATTTCATCTTACTTGGATCCACAATCAACATCCAAGGAAGCAGCAGTCAAGAAATCAAATAACATATTTCATTGGGCAAATCTGCTGCAAAAGACCTCTTTAAAGTATTGAAAAGCAAAGATGTTCCTTTGAGGACTAAGCAGCACCTGATCTAAGTCATGGTATTTTCAATCGCCTCATAAGCATGCAAAAACTGGACAATGAATAAGAACCCAAAGAACTGATGCCTTTTAATTATGGTGCTGGCAAAGAATATTGAATATGCCATGGACTGTCAGAAGAACGAGGAGTCCTGGTGGTGCAGTGGTTAAAGCGTCTGACTGCTAACCAAAAGGTTCGCAGTTCTAACCCACTAGCTGCTTCAAGGGAGAAAGATGTGGCAGTCTGCTTTCATAAAGATTACAGCCTTTGAAACCCAATGGGGCAGTTTTACCCTGTCTTACAGAGTTTCTGTTGGTCAGAATTGACTCGACAGCAGTGGGTTTTTGGGTTTTGGCCAGAAGAACAAACAAATCCTATCTTGGAAATAGAGCCACAATGCTCCTCAGAAGTGAAAATGGTGAGACTTTGTCTCACTTACTTGGGACATTATCAGGAGGGACCAGTCCCAGGAGAAGGACATCATGCTTGGTAAAGAAGAAGGTCAGCAAAAGAGAGGAAGACCCTTGGCAAGATAGATTGACACAGTGGCTGCAACGATAGGCTTAAGCATAGCAGTGATTGTGAGGATGGCTCAGAACTAGGCAGTGCTTCGTTCTGTTGTAAATAGGGTGGCTGTGAGCTCGAACCAATTCAATGGCACCTAATAACAACAACACATATGAGTTAGTGTATAATTGCATGTAAGTATTAACATGCAGATGGCATAAATGAAAGACAATAGAAATGGATATGAGGGAAATAAACCATAGACTCAATGCTGGAAATATGAAGAAGGTAGTGTATTAATGTGAATAGTAAATTGAGTTTGAGATAGGAAATGGGGAGATTGTGCCTCTCAATGAATAGTAGTTATTACTTTAACTCCTTAGAATTCACAGTTTATCATGTGCATATAAAAGTAAAACACAAAGTAGAAAAATAATAAATACTAGAAGACAGAAACAGAAAAATATGTGGTAGATACTGAAAGTTCTGTTTGCTGAGTTTGGCACTTTCCTTTTTTGGATGGAGTTTGCTTCTTTCAAATGTTTGGTAATTTTTGGCTATACACCTACCTTTTGGGATCCTCTGTTAGTTCCTGTGAATGTTTAATCTGTTTATAGCTGATGACTGTGGAAGACTATTTAGATATTTTAATTAGTGGAGTGTGATGGTGGTTATTCTGGACAGAGTACCTTGGTTCTTCCTGACAGTTGCATACTCCTGGGTCACTATCTGCTTTCCCTGACTCAAGGGCCTGTGGTCACTACTCCCTTTTTGATAGAGAAATAGCAATTACCGCCTGGCCCAGAGGCCAATGGCACGAGGTGTTGACCCCTGTTCACTCCCAATGAAACAGCAAAATCAGTCATTCTGACAGTTGCGTCCTGGCCCCTCCCCTACTGGTGGGACCCACACCTCCAGGCTAGGGTCACCACCTAAGCTCCCAGCTTTTGCAGCAGGTTGTAGTTCCTTTTTTCCACCAAATCATCACTGCCTTTCACTTTTCAGGAGTTCCTCATAGTGTGTGATTCAATTTACCAGCATGATTGTGAATTTTAAAAAATATATCCTTTTTGGTCAGTTTTTGGATGAATCATCTGGCCAATGGGAGGAGGACACAAAAGTGTATGTTCAGGCTACTAGGTTGATTCTCTGCTAATAGTTGGATTTTAGGTCTCAACCCTCTGTAATCCATGCTTTGCAATGTTGCCAAATTAATCTCCCTCTTGGAGTTTCATATTCTTCAACCGTACAATGGGAATAACATCATCTATCTTTTCAGCATTGCTGTGCAGGTTAGATATAAAACATCTAGTTCAATGACAGACATGGACTAGGCACACAGAAATTGATAGTTATTTTTATTAGTAGTAAAGTACATGTCTCTAAATATCATTCCTTTTTTCCCTGCTGCCTACCAAAAAAGTTCCAAATTTCTAACTTGGTCTTCAGGGCTCTCTATACCTTAATCCCAACGTGTTTTTTAGAAATGTACCTTCAGCTGCACTTCTTTATAACCTGCTTTTCTGCCAACATGACTGTTGCTGTGTTTTCTACTAGTATATCTATGACTCTCATGTTCCAGGCTTTTTCTAAAGATTCTCTCCATCTCCTCTACCTATTCTGCCTACCAAACCCTGGAAGTAATATTTAAGTTCTGCCTTTTCCATGAAACCCCCTGCAAATATTTGCCCTCCCTCTTCTATTTTGTTAGTATCATTCTTCATTCTGCTTTTAATTATAACTATTCTGTATACTGGGATTTTTCCACAACTACACTCTCACTAGATTGTAAATTTCTTAAGAGCACAAATTAACTCTCATTCACCTTTATTCCACCCGAGAGACTGAAAACGGCCTTTGTGCCTAGTGGGCATGCAATAAACATTCAATGGGTAAATCTAAGACAAATATTAGCAAGAAAAGATCAAAACATCACGCTATATTATGTAAGAGTTTCTGTGCCCGTCCTTAACAAAATGAATAAAGTTATTTGGCAAGGATAGTAGATGGGAGTCTAGCTAGAATTAGCAATTTTAGAGATCCAATGTCATGAGAATAAGCAAAATCTATAGAAAAGTTGTGGATAGAAAGACAGCATATTACTCTTTAAAAAAACACTAAAAAACAGGGTAAGAATGGAACTCCTGTAAAATCTATGTAAAACTTCAATAAACACATAATAAAAAGGTGCTAAAACAAATCCTTCTATGGATCATCCAACCAAAATGATAAAACTAAGAATACAAACGTTAAATATGCCAAGAATAAAAGTGTATTTATATTAACCAATGACACTAGTAAAATGCTTCCTTAAGCTAAGATATGGAGGTACCTATTTTTATATAGACTAAACGACTGTTTCTAAGAACATGTAGTCTAGAAACTGACATGGGAAGGAAATTGTCTCAACAAATCAACAAGAATTGGCTTAGGAGATGTTTTCTGGGTAGCCATTAAGTAATAGTCATCATAATACAATTAAATTCAACTTCCTTCTGGGAAAAGGGGATCCAAGAAAACCATCAATTTGAGAACAGAACTATGACAAAATTCAGAATTAGTAAATTTAAATTTAAATGTAGTAACATGCTTTTAAACTGACCAGGAAAAAAAAATTTTGGAACTGTTAGTTATCTCCTGATAAAAATACCTGAGAACTGCCAAAGATTTTTCCTTGAATGATGTTGACCTAAAATATGGCACTGCACCCTAAAAAGATCATCAAATTTGATGATCTCTTCAAATTGGGAAAGTGAAGACTAAGAAATAATTGAAATCTAAAAATCAGGAAAATACGTGCAGAAAGCTCATACTTTATAAGTAAAAGAGTTTTATAAACAATTCAGATATGACAAATTAAGAATGTTAATAGCCTAGGTTATGCATTCAAAATGTTAGTGACCTAGATTCGTTATTGACAAATGAGTTATAAAATGCGGGTCAAAGATACTTTTAAAAAATAGTGTGTGCCTTCATTCAATGTTTATTCAATAAATATTTCTTAAGCACTTATTA